GTTTTTTCTCTCTAGTTAATCACTGTTAGCATAGATCGTAAAAGTAAATTACAAAACCATCTTGTTTGGAAGCGTATTTCTGTTATTTCTTCTACACTCATCAAGTGTACACTTTAACACCCACACTTAACTCCTGAGAAAATTGACCCTGACTCATTGTTAGGTACTATTCTTCCAACGACCGTTTTCACTCATTATTAAAGTAAGGATTGGGCATGGATCATAGAGTAACCACCTGCCTCCCCCAGAATCCCCCTTAACCCATCAAGTTCGTGTGTGAACGGTCTCGTTCGCTAAGGGTAATCCACTCATTGCTTTGCGTTCGCGATCGGTTCTCTGTGTTCGCGAGAGTACTTTCGCAATCGCGAAGCACAAGGCCTCAGACACCATATACAACTGAAACTAGCTATTTCCTAAGTCCAAAAATGACTCGTAGCCTATCCGAAACTCATCAGAACCCCTCGGGCTCCATACCAAACATGCACACAAGTGTGTTAACATCATACGAATTCGCTCGTGCGATCAAATACCAAAATAACACCTAAAACTATGAATCGGACGTCAAAATGCATGAGACTTTCAAAGAAACTCAAGAACTTCCAAATTTACAACCGAGCGTCTGAATCATATCAAATCAACTCTGTTTTGCACCAAATTTGGCAGACAAGTTTTAAATAGTAAAATGAACATATACCAAATTTCGGAACCGAAATGCGAACCCGGTAGCAATAAAGTCAACCTACGATTTTTAACAAATCAAGTCAAATCAAGTTAGGGACTTCTGAATTATATTTCGGGCATACGCCCAAGCCCAACATAACGATGCGAACCCACCGTGATCTTTAAAATACTAATTCGGGGTCGTTTACATAAAATATTGATCGTAGTCAACTCAAGTCATTTTTAAAGCTAAAATTCATATTTTTTTCAATTTTTTACATAAAAATTTTCTGGTAAAAGAGACGGATTGCGCACGCAAATCGAGAAATAGTGAATGGAGCTAATCGAGGTCTCAAAACACTGAAATAAGAGCTAGAACTCAAAATGACATATCGGATCATCACAACAAAGCTTCCAAATACTAACACAAAATATTACCAATCACCAATTTAGTCGAATAACACAAAATCAAAAGATTCACTTTATCTTCTTCAACACTTTCTAAGGTCCAACAATGGAGTTTTGAGATTTTTACAGTAAATCACCAAAATATGTATTTAAACTGAAAATTAAGCACAAATTATCAATATTCAAACGATTTTAACAATAATCAAAAATTAACTTTTATTTTCTACTACAAAACAAGAATTTCAAACTTTAAAAATTAAAGAACTATGGTATACAAGTAAACAATGGGGGATATTTTGCTAAGACTATAAAAAATGGGGTCATTCCGCCAAAATCACCAACCCTGCACCAATTTTTACGTCAAATGCTATTTTGGTGTAAGATTTGGTGTTTTGGTGCTCCAACTTAATAGCATCTTTTACACCATTTTGGTGTGTGAATAGTGTTACACCAAATTTGGTATAACACTATTCATCAACACCATTACTATTCATCAATATTTTATTATTATTTATTATTATATAACACTTTTAATTTAACATATTACTATAAATTTTGTAATTACTTATCCTTTTTATGTAATTTAACATATTACTATAAATTTTGTAATTACTTATCCTTTTTATGTAATATCTTTATAATATTAATTTTACATCTTTATTTTGATGTATAATTTTTATATTTTCTTATATATTATTTTTTATACAAAATTATAAGTTAATTTTATTATAAGTTATAATCGTATAAGAAAATATAACCATCAAAAAAATAAAAAGTGCAATATAAAATATAATATTTTGTTAATAAATAGCACAATGTTCATTAAATAACATAAAAATAAATATTTAATACAGTAGCGACTGACACAGATTAAAACTAAAAATATTATGGGATGAGAAAATTATAACAATAATTTAGTACTCTGATAGGACGCTTCCAGATCCACCAATATCATTAAAATATTGAGTGTATGGGCAGAGGATTGGTGTGGTTGTGACTGTTGAAATTATTGTCTTTTTTATCCATTATTCGTTGTTTTTGTTCTTGTCGAATAAATTCACAATAGATGCTTATTTTGTACTTCGTAATACATTAATAGAGCATTTATGGGAGCAACATACTAATCCTAAAAGTTAAATATTTATGTAGAAAATAAACTAAATTTTACCATAATGTAATATTTATTTAATTATATCATATCATTTCACTTTTATTTGAATTATCCATTAATATGTATAATGTACAATATTTACTTAAAATTTATATTATTTAAAAATTTATGATATAAAATAATTTTATATTAAATAGTTATATAAGAAATGAATATGAATTATATAGGATGAATATGTAAAAAGGAAACAAAGAAAGAATTTATTTTATGAAATAAAAAAATAAATTTAATAATATAATATAGAACAGAGAAGAATATAAAAGGGATATTCTTTTTTGGTGTAAAAAATAGTGTAATGGGTTGGAGTTAATTTCCACCATATTGGTGTTTACACCATTTTGGTATAAAAAACAGTGCTTAAGGTTGGAGATGCCCTTACAGCTTGTTTGGATGGTTGTTTCCTGTTGTATTGTATATATTGTATTGTTACTTTAAATACAATATTTGTTTTGATTGTTACTTAATTTTTATTGTATCATATTGTTTAAATCCGTCGTTGAGTAACGGCGAAAAGTATCACTTTATTGAAACGACCGATTTGATGTGGTCGCGTCGTTCCCTTATTTTTTTCGTCTCATATTTCCCTTTTTATTATTAAATAATCATATTTTATCTTTTACCCTACCTTTTTATATAATAATATTACCTCGTACCTTACTTTTTCTTTATAATATAGCAAGTTTATTTTTCATATTGTTGGTGCATGAAATCATAAAACAACGGCAAACAATACAATCTATCCAAATATTGTATACATTAAAACGATAAAATATAATACAATACAATATTATATGATACATTATGAAACGATACATAACAACCGGCCAAACAAACTGTTTGGTAGTCACACCGTGCTAATTTCAGGATAAAAAGAACTTAGTGGGCTTGACTGGACTTCTCAGCAAGTATCATAGAATTGTCTGAAATCATTTATGGGGCCAACATAAAGCAATAGTTTGTTTTAACAAAAATAACACTTTATAGTGCTTTCAAACTAATAGCCGAAAAAAAAANTAACTAGTTTCAGTCGTGGGCTAAACGTTAATTTTTTTATTCTTTATATCACCCAGAAGTGTATAAGATTATTGATCGAACCTCAAAAATAAAGAAAAAATATTTAATCAAACGTTAAAGAATATTTAATCAAACGTTTTTCTGTAGTGAACTTACCAAATAGCAAATACATATCTGAAATAAGTCGGAATTTTGAATGTTGGATATCAATTGATTTCTTATAGAAAAAAGTAAAATCCTTTGGTGGCGGCTAATAAAGCTATGCGAAGTGCGAACTGTGACCTTTGTGCGTGCTAGAAAAGGACATGCATTATTTCTCCGTCCAATGAAAAAAATGTTGACATAATATAAATAAAGTCTATACGAAAGGAAAACCGGCAAAATTTCTCATAAAATTTCTAAATATACTTTTATCTTAAATTAAATATTTGTCTTCGTTTAAGATATGAGTATTGAATAAAAGTTATAATAAGAAACAATTTAGGTAGAAGGCAGGTCACTAGTAAATTTTACATTCCTTGGCCTCCTAAAGCAATCACGGCCCTATTTTATCTATTACTACCCACCCTCGTCCAAATTTCGGAGGTACTTCACACGTATCGAATGTCAATTTAACTAGTTAACCTAGAAAGTAGAAACTATACAAACGTACTAAAATATTTGATTTTGCATATCAAAATAGCACATGAATTTTATAATTGGAAATCATAGTTTATTTGTTTTGAGAACGTACTCTTAGAGACGAAGTCCCTTCGAAGACATTCAATAAAATTAGAATTAAGACTTTTAAAGACGAACAGTGACTAAAATAGTATTTAGCATTAAAAGAGTATCGTTGTGTTGAATTCTGATACGTAATAATAAAATTTGCATAAAAAGAAATGTAAAAAGCATATTGTAGAACTTTTGGAATTTTATGTACATAATAATTGTTGCTTTTATTACAAGTTTTATTCTTAACGAGAGCTTATCAAATTCGTCTATAATTATTGCTTATTGAATTTGTATACGGTCAAAACCGATTTTGTCTTTCATGTGATTAATCAAGATTGTAACATGATGGACCGATGGTCATTTTCATAATACCGAGATGAGATCCGAAGCCAGATTACCAAGCTCAAGATTCAGGAACCGATCAATACCGAGCTCGAAGTCATTATCGAACTCGAGTCCAAATCGAACTATGATGTGAAGTGGCGTCATCGAACTCAAGACCCGAGCCCAAGTCAATACCGAGCCCGAGTCAACATCGACCAAGATCGAGCTAAGAGACAAGAGCCGTTGTAGCCGCACTTGGGGAGAGAATCTCGGCAGAAATTAAGGAAAAATTAAATTAATTAATCTATCATGGAATCTCCACTATGTATTTTTTATTATATCTAAAGTAGATTACACCGTTATAAAAGAGTGGCTATCATTTATTTAAAGGCAGGAACATTAAGTCATCTACACACTCCCATATTGAAAAGATTATTGAAGGGAGGTTTTTACATTTACCAAAAGCCTCAAGGAGTTTTTAATCAGTAATGCATGAATAAGCAAGGATCTTATGACATAACGATATCCTTCTTAATAAATTGCTATACTCAAATCAGTCAAAAGTCAACCTACACCCAAAGTTCACACTAAAATTGCTGAATTTTGAACAATTTTTAACACTACTGGCTCATATTTTGGTTCTATAAATACTTCTATCTTCTCAGTCTTTCCTCCATATTCAACCTCTTTTAAAGATAAAACAAAAGAAGTAAAAATGATTAATAATTTTTCTTCAAGAAAATACTTCATTTTTATTTGTACTATAGCTATAATTGTAATTCCAAAATGGATCTCAGCTCAGAAATGTGGGTGTGCAGAAGGCTTATGCTGCAGCAAATGGGGTTATTGTGGCACTGGAAATGATTATTGTGGAAAAGGCTGCCAAGGAGGACCTTGTTATGGTTCACTAATAAGCAATGGATCAGCTTATCCAGTTTCTGAAATTGTTTCTGAAGCATTTTTCAATGGAATTGCTAATCAAGCTGCTTCTAGCTGTGATGGCAAAGGTTTTTACACAAGATCTGCCTTTCTTGAAGCTCTCAAGTCTTATCCTCGTTTTGGAACTGTTGGTTCTTCTAATGATACTAAGCGTGAGATTGCTGCTTTCTTTGCTCATGTCACTCACGAGACTGGACGTAAGTCATTTTCCTTACAACTCTCTGATGCCATAGTTGTCAAAATAGCACGGGCTAGCCAGTTTTCGAATTAATAATCGAAAATAGCCAGCGTTTGCAAAGTCATTAAAAAATAGTCATTGTTTTGCTGAAACACGGAAAGTTTTAGCATAATATGCTGGATTATGCAGCTCCTGCGTATAAACTTCCAGCATATTATGTTGGAACTCCAGCACACTGTAAGTTGCAGCATAATATGCTGGATTATGGAGCTCCAGCATTTAAACTTTCAGTATATTATGTTGGAACTCCAACACAATATGAAATTCCAGCACATTATGGTGGAATCTCATATGTAAAAAAATCCGAACTTTCCGGATTTTTAAGGGTGTTTTTGTTCCGATTTTATCTTTACATGAAAAAACGGTTAAATTTCGATTACTTTTGAAACTCAGACTATTTCTCAATTACTAGTTGTAAATCTGGCTATTTCTGTTTTGTTTTTTCCCAGGCATAGTCTGATTTCACATTTGTCGTGGGCTTTAACTTTACTCAACTAACAACATAGTTTTTTCTTCTTTTTTTTTTTTTTTTTTTTTTTTTTTTTTTTTAAAATAACATCTTCGGTTCCAAAGAGGATAATCAAACAAAGGTAATTAGCTCAAAAGGGTTAGCAAAGGGTTGATGGTGTNTAAACATAGAGTACCCTTGTGTTCCTGGCAAGAAATATTATGGCCGAGGACCGATCCAATTGTCATGGAATTTCAACTATGGACCAGCGGGAAAGGACATCGGATTCGATGGCCTAAACGACCCTGATATCGTGGCTAGGGACAGCATTATATCATTCAAGACAGCCTTGTGGTACTGGATGAGCAATTGCCACTCTCTCATAACTTCTGGCCAAGGTTTTGGGGCGACGATTCGAGCAACTTATGGCCCGTTTGAGTGTGATGGTGGCAATCCTCCGGCTGTTGCTAGAAGGATTGATTATTACACTGAGTATTGTCACCAACTTGGTGTGGAGACTGGGAATAATTCCTCTTGTTAGGAGAATCTGAAATGTCTGAATAATGGCTACACAAGGAAAAATGTCAATCAAATGAAAAGGGTTATTTCACTATGAATGAAAGACGATACTACTTGAGTTCTCTTTTCTTCGGTAGCACAGACATTTACAAGCCAATTAGACCAACCAATGTTCATGGTTCAGAATAGGCTTGACCCATAAATCTGGCTCAACTCTACCCCCTATTAGCTGTTGGGCTTGAATTTCGTAGCGGGATCTTTATACAAATAGCACAAAAGATTAAATGTTATTAACACCCAACTAAACCAATACAAATAACATAAAAATAAGTTTTAATCCAGATAACCGCCAAATAGAGTGCCTATTTCATGACTTACTGGTTCTGGAACTTATGAAAAAGGCAACCAAAAAAAAAAGGTAGAATAAAAAGAACTACACAATCTCATGTTAGGTTCTGACAACCAAAAAGTATGTATAGCTGCAACCAAACAAACTACAAGATGGCATTGAAGTAGGTAACTAGTCTAATTTGGTCCACTCTACTCTAAGATTGCCACAGCTGTTCTTCAACGAACTAAAAATCAAGTTTATGACAAAATCCCTTCAAAGTTCCATAATACCAACAAGCTCTTCGAAAGCTTCACTAATTTAGAAGTGAAAAAATTGAGTAAAAACATCTCCTCTCATCATTCTATGCAGTTGGAGTTATAATGCAGTTTCAGACTTGTCATCCCAAATGGGAGTCAAATCCGACAACTCTATCCTAGAAACAAAAGTGGGGGAATAAACCAAGGACTAAAGTTCATGTAGAGGCCTTTTGAGCAGCTGATTTCTTCTTTGACTTCTCCAACTTTTTGTCAGAATCAGCAGCCTTTCTCTTGTCCTTTCTCTCCCTCTTTTTTAGTGCAGTCAAGCGGGCCTTCAGCAAAATCGCATAAGATGCTTGGAAACGCTGGTGATCTTTTGCTCCAACCTGTTAGTCCAAAGAAATCAAGTGCATCAGTGGCTACAAGAAGTGAAATGATGTATCAAAACATAAATAATAATCAGATACTACAACACTAAGTCAAACATGAATACAAATAAAGTAAAGAAAATTTAAGTGTGTGTACTTGTCTCCACTCTCCATTATAGGATGTAGAAAGACATTCAAGAAGGAAAAATGAGAAGGGATAGCTACCAGACATACCAGTCAAAGTTCTATATTAGAGGATTAACACATCCTTAGACATAGACACATGACGGGCTTCATCAACCCAACCTTCATTCATATACATGTGCACCACGGGGAAACTTTGGCAAGTTCAATTTCAAGAAGTAACAAACCAAGGAGTATTTGCAAATGCAGGTAAGCAAAATTCAGAACCAAAGTCTGCAATTAGGATTCAGCTCGCAAATGAATTCAGCACTACAATTTGCCGATCATAATTCATGCATGCCTAACATAAAGGGGAAAAAAACTACAGAAAGCAGGATTGTCCCTCTACAGCCAATGCTACTTCTGTGAAAATGAAGATGCTGAGCTTTTATTCATACACTGCAAAATTTGCTGCTTTAGCTATGAGGGCCCTTTCTTAGATTATCTCGCAGCAGTGGGCTATGAACCAAGACTAAGAGATATGGAGACTAAGTAACCACATGGAAACTAAGAGATATCACCTCCTTACCTGTAATCCCAGTCATCTCCCAATAGTTAACAGTTTCCTACAGTCCTTGAAGTAATGCATGCAGAAAGAGCTCACTATAAATGACTTATTGCTATTGAACTTGGATTACAATTCTGCAATAATGAAATGACCCGGTGATCAATGAAGTGGGTTTGAAATCATGAGGTTTCAAGCTCAAATCCCAATGGAGGCAAAAAGACTAGGTAATTTCTTCCCATCGGGCCAAGTCTTGATGGACAGAGTTAAACGGGTTCTATGTTGGTGGGAGGTAGCAGGTACCCCAGGGAAAAAGTCGTGCAAGCTAAAGATCCAAAAAGGAGACAGTTGTTATGCAGATAAAGTGACCAATTTCATTAGCAAGATAGCATCTGCTAGCAGACACGTTAAAGCTCAAAGGTGCTTATCAGCAATAGGGGTTAAAATAAAAGAGCATTAGACAATGTTCCCTGGAACTGACAATATATTGATAGCGAGAAATTCTCATGACAGAAAGCTAAGGAAGAAAGAAAGATTGATGTACTTGATGCAGATGTCATTTTTAGAAAATGAGCAAGTGACATGAAAGAATAAAGCATCTTGGTCAAACTAAAAGGAGACACGGATCGTGCAATGATCATGTATCTAGTAACTCCATAGATCTTAAACCTAATATCCCTCCCTCCCTCCCTCTCTCACACACACAGTGAGCATGCAGATGGGTGCAAATTCTTCAGCCTCTTATAGATCCACATATTAAAGGGTTTCTCTTTTTCAAAATAAGTCTCTCTCTTACTAGTCATCTTCATAGTCACCCGCTTGCAGAAAACTTGTGCCCAAAAACGCAACCAATATTAAGTGGAAAATTTTATCATTCCACCAAACATTGTTTTCCTTACAGTTTTTGCTATCAAATTTAAATGCTAACCCCAGATGCTGGAAGCATCCCCCAAAAGCACATTCAGATTCTAGCCTTAGATTTGTATTTTAATTAATAGTAAGGAAAGATATATAAGATTTCTTTGACCAGAATTATGGACTCACTTCTTATATAAGTACTAGGAAGTAGGAACTATACGTTACAAAATATGTCAAAATCAAACTCCACCAAGTAATGCACAATCAATCGCCAACTTTGCTCTGTTACTTTACTTGTTTTCTTTCTCCTTCCATCTTAATTGTTAATGTTGGGCATCACTGGAGGAACCGAGAAAGGAAGGGAACACGATGATCCAGAGGGCACAAAGGAGGAAAGTGCATCTAAAATAATATAGTTTTATGTTTAATAAGAGGAACAACAAATACCATCACTGTTGGTGCACTAACATTATATTACAAGAGTATACTTTAACTATTAATTATCAATCAAGTAAACAAGGACGGTATTATCATTCCAGTTAAACCACAAGGCTATCACCCCCTTTCTAAAATTTATTGCTCCCTATCTCAAAGGCAAAGACAAGGAGCACGAATTTATCTAACTTTTATCTACACATTTAAACTTATGCTACAACAATTAATTCATTAAGACGCTAACACAATCACATCTTCCTATCAGAGAACATCCCAAAGTTTTGTTCAACAAAGCAAAAAGAAAAGAAAAAGAGGCAAGACTTGCAGAAAGAAGCACTAAACCACACTCCAAACAACAAGACTAAGCAATGGGAAAGAATGACATGCTTCAACTGTTACCATTGTGGAAATATTCTTTTTCCCATCAGTTGCTCGAATGAGGCATTTAAATTCAATATTTTCTCCAGCTGTCTTCATTTTGTTCCGCTGAGCTTTAGATTTATCAGAAGCTGTAGATACAGGGGAAAAAATTGCTCATTCAGTATTTCAATCTACAGCTCCGTTGTTAATCGTTCAAAAAGAGAATTGCCAAAAATACGAAAAAACCTAATAAAGAGGCAAACTCACAGTGTTTGAGAGTAACCCAAACAGAACCATGCTCAGTAGTTCGCTCAAACATGCTTGTCAGTTCATTGAGGAATGGGTCTGGCTGTAATCGTACCTGAAAAATTCAATTCCAATTAATAGTTGTCAACTTATGTTCGACCAAAAAATGAACAAAGCCACTCCTTCATATTCCCTAAAATTAGCAAAAACACCATATAGTGTATTATCCACAAATAGGAAGCAAGTTCAGCTTCGCTATGTGATTTTGACATAGCCAATTTCAGCATCGCATTGCTAGTGCGGTAGTGCCAAGCCCGGATAAATGAGGAAGAATTACAATAGGTGTGTGCCTGGGGGCGCACAATGAACTCAAAGTGCAGAGTTAGAGGATTCATGGAATTATGACTATTTCTACTTTGGCTATCAATCTATGTATTGTTCCTCCTTTATCCGGTACAGGAGGTTGACAGCCAGAGCAAATATAGTCGTAATTGCACGAATCCTCTAACCCTACACATGGAATTATCGTTACACGCTCTCCTAGGAACGCAGTACATCAGCACCTGGGTGTAATGTTAAACGGGTAAAGGGATCCATCAGCTCAACTAGTTTGAGACTGGGATGTAGTTAATTGATTCAAAAAGCACACTTAAACTGGTACTAAGTAATTTTCAAAATCAATATACTGGGAATTATGATGCAAATATATACCGATGCAAGCAATGCAAAAGATCCTGCATTAATTTTATAATCTACTGACCCCAGAATCTAAACAAGAAAAATTAAGATCAATGTGCTATTTAATCAGAAAAACAAAGCACTGATAAGTAAGAATTATTTATCGCTACGAATTGATCCATTTTCAGATTTGCTTCAAAGATTTAAACAAAGGATAATTTTGATGATGTGAATTTTGGGGTTACCATGTTCGAAGCCCTTTTCTCTAGTAGCAACGATTCCAACAGAGCAAAACCCAAAAACCGAAACTCAGAAGACGAAACACCCAGCAACGAAGAGGAAGGCAGAAAAGATGCGAGGTTTATATGGGTCAAATAAAGGTCGTGTAGAAATATGGGGAAAACCCAAAAAGATAAAAGGCAATAGTCAAAATAATTAAATGGCAAAAAAAAAATAAAGGTAAAAGAAAAGAAAGTGAATGAATTATTAGGGGAAAAGGGTAATTAACTCTGGTTAAGTCGATATCATAGTAGGGAAAATGTTCAAATTTACTCCTCTACTTACGGATATTGTCAACATTTAATCCCCGTTATACTATTCGGACAAATATATCCTACTGTTATACTATCCGATCAAATTTATCCCTATCATCTATAAACTTTTAAAAATTACCCCTCAGTCTATTAGGTAACCCAAAATCTCCCAAATCCTTTTTATTTAAATCACTTTATTTTTTTTCTTGATCCATTATTTTCATAAATTACTATTAAGGAGAATGCTAAAGGTACTAAACTATATAAATTATTCACGGATATTTTTAATGGTCATTGCACCCACTTCTCTTCTTGTGATAATGATTTTAGAATTGATTTAAA